ATCAATACTTAGTTTTTGTTGTGATGATTTTGCGGATAAGCGCGAAGGATAGAGAAGACAAGTTCTGACAAGCCCCGATCTCCTATACTTGAGACAGCGCCTGCCTCAGAATTTGCCGTGGTAAGTTCTAGCTAGAACACCAAATCCAGCTGCCAACAGTTTGTCACACCTTCGCGCAAGGCAGAAAGGAGTCGCAAGGCCAACGTACCTCTACATGAACAAAAGAACGACTTTGCTTACTCGAAACCAAGAAACTATCAACAACTCAAATCAATACACAGATAGATAAACAAACAAGATGTTTACTTGTGAGCAGCCACACGCTCAGAGGTTGACGCGCCTGCGGCTTTCCAGCTTTTCTGGACGCCGTTAAGCAAGGCAGTTTTGAGCGTGCAAACGCGCTTGCTCCCACAGCCGGCCCCCTAGATTTAGCGGTGCCCAGTGGATCACCAGTGTTTTATATGTCTAGAAGGGTGTCTACACGGTCCCTTTTGCGGCCAGTGCGAGAAGCAATCGGGCAAATAATTGAAGCAAAGCAGTGAACGTTGCCGCTTGTTCACACAGTTGCAGGTTGCCGTTCTTTATCGGCAACTACGGATTTCCAACATCATTAAATAGTATAGGGCCGGTGACGCTTCCGTGCAATCCCCTCCCCTTTTTGGGAATCAGGGGGTGGTTCCCACTTCTGTACAAGGGAACCTTGCGAAAAGCTGAAGCCCCAGTGGCGCAGTCAACTAATTTTCCTTACATGCAATATCTCGAGAGTCAATCGTTGTGTTCCCCAGAATTTCGGAGTCGGGCAGTCGGGACGTGGCTTTGGCTCTGTTCCTGAGGTTCAACGTGCGGAAGGATGATGCTGACGCACAGGCGCTTGATCGAAATCTAGACTGCATCCTCGTTGCTGGTGGGCTTCACATGTTGCGTGCTTTTTGGTCACGAAGGAATGGTCTTGAGGCCCCCCCCAAAAAAATAAAGAAGCATATTCAGGTCTGACACTGCGTTTTTGTTGTTTTCTTTTGCAGGCCAAAGACAGCTACCTGCTCATGGCGAAGCGGGCGGAGTTGCTCTTGGACGGTTCTGTGCGAGAAGCGCCGGCCTTTGCGAGCATTCCTCCTGGAATGGAGCCCCTGGAAGTTTTTGGAATGACACCAAAGCAGGGGCAGCATGTTTCAAAACATGTTTGTTATCTCTTGGCGTCCCTTGAAACAGCACCCCAAAGGAAGTCCTTCTGATTTTTGGGGCTCCCTGTGAGCCGTGTACATGTAACGACTTGGATGGCCCCTTGGATACTGCAGAGGCGCTGATGGCTTCATGCGGTATGGATCGAAGAGCAGCCAGGAAGCGTCCAAGAGCATGAGACCCCCGTATATTATGGTGTTGAAGGGAACTAAAGCCAGCTATTTTGTTCCCCCAAATTAACCCACCCCCCCCAACGGAAAATCCGAAGAAACATATTTCCCCAGATAGCTGAAAGCTACAGGGGTTCTAACTTCTAATAAAGAGGGGAAAGTTATTTGCGAGATTGATGGGCTGGTGCTAGGGGGCGTGCAGCAGTTTGGGGTGCTGGTGTAGGTGCTGATTGGGGTGCTGTTTGGGGTGCTGATGGCAGTGCGGGCGCATCTTTTCAAGATTGACGGTAGGGTGCTAGGGGGCATGCAGTTTGGGGTGCTTGTGCAGGCGCGCGCGCGGATTCTTGCGTCTTGACGGTTTGACGCAGGGGAACGCAGTTTGGGGCGCTGGTGCTGATGGTGCTGTGGGGCGCAGTTTGTGGGGAGCTGCGTGTGGAGGGGCTGAAGGACAGAAGCTTGAGTGACGGTGCTTGCAGCATGATGCCCTGACACGCACAGGAAACCTACTACGATGGCGTGATGCAGAGTTTTGCTTGGGGCGTTCTTCGGGGGGGTTGCTTTTGGAGGTGCTGGTGTGCACGCACTGCTATTTGGGGTCTATGCTGATGTAGTTTGTATTAGGGGGTCCCCAGTTCTAGGCTTGGGGTGTGCAATTCATGTGTTTGGTGCTGAAAGTGGTTCTTCGCCCTTTCTGGGCCGCAATCAGTCAACGCCATGTTAGGCTTTAAATATGGAGTCGAAAAGGGAGCAGTTTGTCCAGAAAGGGATGCTCGGTGGCTGATGGCAAGGGGTCCCCTAACAAGACTGGAATAGAGGTCGGTCGGAGAAATCGCGTTTCGCCTTGGGCCATTCTAAAGTAGTAGTGGGAGCCCCGAAGTTTTGGAAAAAGATGATTAATTGTTAGGGGGAAACTTTCTTATTAAGGAGGACGGATGAGATATTTGGGCCCTCTTGTAGCAACCGATTCAAGTGAGTTACTATGTTCCGCGGGCAAGGGACATAAAGTACCCATGTATTTGCCACATGGAGGATTTCGGAGACGTGAATTGTCAAAGTGCGGCGGCCTTTCGGTGTCATAGAGTGCCGCATTCAAGAGGGTCGCCTAAAGGGGAATTATTTTGTTAACTCCCTCCCCTATTCTTAGATTCTTCAGTTTGCAAGCCATGGGCAAGAAACTAACGCACCCTTGCCTTGACATTACTTTTTCATTTGTATGGAACCCCAAAATCTCTAGAAGATGCTTCCATCCACGGCAGTGGATAGGCTTCAATGACAAACCACATTGTTGCAGCAGCTGTCGACGTCCTCGACATGTGTTGCTTAGCGTCAGTATTCAGCTGGCAGACCAGGACATAATCGTAGGTGTTGATGAGTAACACCTCCCACAATCAAACAAGTCTTGTTCGGGGATCCCCAAACATATCCAAAACTATAAGCTTTTTATACCAGGCCAATACTAAAGTTCATTACTGCTCGCGACCTACGGTGCTCCAAGCAGAGAAGCCCCCGGACTTCGAGAAATTTGCTGCCAGGTCCCGACCTGCCTGTCACAAAAAAACCAATTGAGGCAAGTGCCAAAACAAACTGAGACTCATCAACCCTGTCCCTTCGGAGGGTTGTCGGATGACCTCACACTTTGACTAGCCGGCACAATAGTAAACCTCCCCCAGACTCGCCGAGAATAAATATCTCTCCAGGTCCCAAGAAGGGCAGCTGGCTCCTGGCTCCAAAGCTCCAAACTTCAGCACCCAAACTTGCAATCCCACTCTGCAAGACCTGGGACTTTTCATCTGATTCTTGGTCTACAGGGCGCAGACGCGCGGAAAGTGGTGTGTCTTGCTGCATGGCTGGTCGCTGCTTGCTCCAAGGCTGCTAGTGCTATTTCCACAACTTCAAGCTTACCCGTCAAAGCGACCTACAAGTCAAACTTCAAGTCAACACTTCAAGCAAGCCACCTTCATCAACAAGCGCCCTTAAAAAAGAAGAAACTTCATTGTTCTGTGGCTGACACTGCGATCCCCTACAATAGTAGAGCCACCTGCAAGAATGAAACTAAGCACACGCAGCCAGGTCAACCTTGGAACCCAAAACTAAGTTCAGCAAATACTAAATCAATTCGAAACTTTTTTTAAACCTTAGCGTACTAAACCAAAATGAAACTCACCTGGTCAGTCAAGTTTTCACTTGATCCTGCAACTTACATCAATGAACACCCCCCCAACAGTTAAAGATTTTCCTAAGTTGTACAATTTCACAAAGCGTAGGCCCGAATACTCAAATTGATTTTGAAGCTCCCCTTACTGACCAAGGATCGAAAGATCCAGACCCGGAGCCCAAAGATCCTTGCCAATGCCAAGCCCCCGTAGAATTCTAGACCAGGAACACAATCCGGGAGGGGGGGGGGGGGCGGAAAGGGGGGCCCTCCAATCAATCAACAGCTAAGATCATGTTGGCATCATTTTGCAAGTGTTCACTGAAAGGAGCGGTCAAGCAGCCAAAATCCAAATCATTCGGTAACTCCCGCCTGCTAAGGCAGTGACTGCTGCCCTCAAAGAAGTATGCGGCTGAGCGAGGAAAAATCGTGCCTTTCCGGTCCCACCCCCAAAACCATGGGGGCGTGTCGTTTTAGGGGCCCAAGGAGGAGCCCAAGAAATGGTGGGTGTCCTTTCGGTTCAAAAAGCTATACACCCAATTTTGCCCAAGTATTTTTGCAACATGCTGATGGTTCATTCCCCTTGGCTCAGGAAATATTGGAGTTCACCCGGTGGAACGGTGGCACAAAAAAAGCGGCGGTTGGTGTCCATGGTTGTGAAAGTTTGGCAATTTGGTTTTTAGGTCACCCTTTGTCGCGCAAGTAGTTCCTCCTGCGTGATGAATGCCAATGCCCCACTTGCTGGCTACGTTTCAGGAAGCAGCTGCCAGGATCTTGGGACCCTGGCTCAAAGGGTGCCGAGCGCCAAGCCAATGCTCCTATCCCGCGCCACGTGCACCAATCCCCACACACACACACACAAAAAAAAGACACACACACACACCGAGAGAGACACACAGAGAGACACACACACACAGAGACACACACACACAGAGACAGAGGCACGCACACACACACACACACACACACACACACACACACACACACACACACACACACACACACACACACACACACACACACACACACACACACACACACACACACACACACACACACACACACACACACACACACACACACACACACACACACACACACACACACACACACACACACACACACACACACACACACACACACACACACACACACACACACACACACACACACACACACACACACACACACACACACACACACACACACACACACACACACACACACACACACACACACACACACACACACACACACACACACACACACACACACACACACACACACACACACACACACACACACACACACACACACACACACACACACACACACACACACACACACACACACACACACACACACACACACACCTCAATAGGGTTTGTTGGTGTGTGTGTGTGTGTCTGCGGGGTACCCCCAAACAAAGAAGGGGGGTTGTGAAGGATTGCTCCCGGAGTCTGGCCAGCGCGACACACGTTCTGCCTGGGGCCGCTGGTTCAAGGCGCTTTTAGCGTAGTTCTTCTATCAGGTCCTCCGTATTCAGCTAGATTCAGAGTCGGGCGCCTCAGTTCAGTGTCACACGGTGTTACCTGGCGCTGGCCCAATGACGCCGTTCTGCAGCGAGAGGCCAGCATTTGCCCAAGACAGTGCAAAGCGCCTCTTTGCCTGGCACGTGCACCATTGCCATCGGGTTCGATCATTTTCAGCCCCTGCGCTGACTTATCTGCTTTGTTTGCAAATAGGGGTATTCATGACTTCAATAGAATCTAATCCCCAAACCATCAGACTTGTTCTCGCCGGTCAACTCAGCACGTCAGTATGAGGAAAGATAGCGGAGCTCTCTCTCCGCCGTAGAGAAGATCTTTGGAAAGATCCGGATCTCTCAGGCTGTCCATTTGCACTTCATATCTCAATCAATGTTGAAGTGAAACTCCAAGACTTTTTCATCAATCACGTGCTTTCAACAGTTTGCTCAACCTCGTGAAACGCACGTGAGAAAATGGCAAAATACTGGAAGTCTATTGTTGGTTGGAGGGGGACATTCGTCCGGGGCACACGCGATGCCTCCAAGCACTGGCTGGCTTTCGCCATCTCCCAAGTTATGTTCCGAGAGGTGCCAAACAGACCTCGATTGCCCTTCCCCAAAGGCTCGGCAATTGTAAAATCTGCGGAGTTCCCGGTGACGCCTTGAGATGTGTATGGAACCCGGCCACAAAACCACACGTTTGGACACAGTGGACGACAAATGCACCGAGGCAAATAGTGCAATGAGGAGCGGAGAAGATGGCTTTGGCCATGGTTTGATCGGCGTCTCACGCTTCGGGTTGCTGATTGGAGCATCTCAGAGTAGTACGCATAGCTGCCTCAAGTGTGGGTTGGATCCACCGAACTTTCAATGACATTGGTGTCTCTTCAATGTGAGACAACCAAATGAAAAAGAAGCATGAACTAGACATCATTTTTGCACACACGCACAACAAGATAATTGAGCAGCAAATGTGTTTCTGCCAGAGACGCCTTTTGGATTTCAGGGGTTTGGTTGGATACAGTCCTCATGCTTTACCGTCCTTGCTGCTCACAGTCGGAGTTTGCCTTGCGAGACCCCTATTCCCAGGTTTCCCTATGCTTCCCCTTTTGGTGACTTTGAACTCCACCTTTTGGGCTCTTTTCTGCCACCTCATCGCGCGTGAGCCGCCCTTCTTTTCGTTGTGTGCCTCAGATCATGCGAATCAGCCAAATTTAAAATGAGTTTGGGAGCCCTGATCCCCACAACGGATTCTTTTTCAAAGAGGATCCGTTGACCTTTTGGTTTTCCACCTGTACACGTTTTCCCATGAGGCGGTCCCTTTGTTCTAGAAAAGGACTCGGCGAACCTCCGGAGACACCTCTTCAAGTGGATCGTTTCCTCAAACTCCCCGCAACTGATGAATTCCGAATTGCATAGGTTCGGGAAAATGGAGATGTCCAAGATTTGGGGAGGCTCGCTGTTGGATGATGGAAGGAAAGCCAGGCGGAATCTTATCACTTGTGTGGGGGTTCTACTTGAAAACTTTTGGTCAAGTGGCCAGCTCAGTGGTTTTCCGTGCATGGAGTGTGGATGCAGAGGTCAACCTGTCACTTGCTGGAAGGGCCAATCTGAGAGTTTGACTGAGCCAGACGTCCGTTCCACGGGAAGGGTTAAATGGAATCTGGGGAAGACAGGGGACACCGAAGGATCGAAGATGCTTGAGTCTGCGTATCTGGGTCGGTCCTGCGTGAATCAATGCGTCTGCACAACATTCGCTCACCTAAAATGCAAGCATCATGAAGGCGCTGTACAAGGGGATTCCTTGCTAACCCACTGGTGCGTGTAGGTGAGTTGATCGGGATCTTTGTGCGACCCTGGAGACATTGAGTATCGCCCTTCAAAGGGCGTCCACGACAAATCATGTTGGCATTGCTCCCACGAACAGATTGGTCACACCTTCCCTCCTGAAAGTGCTCATGTTGCTCGCATTCTTGGGTTCTGTTTTTTTTTCCCTGAGCAGTTCTTTGCGCCAATATGCCGACCGAATGAAAGCCCGCCCCCCAACCCCTGCCCAGGAGATCCCAGACGCGCGCCCCGGCGGGCGTCTTGCTGCTGGCCACTGCTTTCATCTTGCAGGGCTGCAACGACGAGGAGACCAAAGATGGAAATTCTGCACCTGAATGAGGATTCGCCTGTAAATACCCAAAAACCATGGTTTCAACCATGGTTTCAAAATCCACAGTATGTTCAGGCGTTCCCCTGAGGCCTTGGTGATTTTAAAAATCGCCTTTCAGGCCCTAAGGTGCGTTCCCTTGCTAGACACGGGGAGTGTTTTTTTTGTTTTTTCCCTGGGGACAAATTAAGAACCCGAAGCCGAGGAGAAGCTGAAGCGCATGTTCTTTCCCTGCTTGGCAAACATCGTCGAATTGGGATCTCCAAACGGAAATACCGCAGCAGTTGCTTCCCATGGCTTGGCCCACCATAAAATGGTGCTCCGGAGCTGAGCCCAACCTGAAACCCTGAACAAAAAGTCGGGGGGTGTCCAGAGATTTGGGGCGTGTGTTGTTACTTTCGGGACGAAACTCAAGCCAGGGCCTTGCGCAAGGGTCTGGTGCTATTGGACATGACCAGGTTTTTCTCTCCGGCGGGTTTGGGACAGACAGCTCAGATTTGTGCAACGTTTCCATTGGAAAGAGGGTGGTTCCACTGGGGTGTCCCTGCAAACAACCCCAAAACCGGTATATTTCTTCAAGAGAAGGTGTGCGCATTTGTCGTGCAGTCTCGCGTTTCCCCAGGAGCAACACCATCATGGTAGCCAGGCGCGGGCTTGCTTCGCTCAAAGGTACATCCCGCTGATTTTTGCTGGGGCTGGACGGAAGTCGGTCTAATTCAGGTTTTTTGGTTTGATGGGAAGCCCCATCCAGACCAACTGAAGGGGTCGTTTTGTTTGGGATGTAAAGGGAAGCTAACAGGACACCGTTGGCGTTGAGAAATCCCCTTCCCTTGGTTGGAATCCAGGCCCTAAGCGGCTAGACCTATGACCCATGCCTTGAGCCTGTGGTGCGGGTCCAGCTCCGGCCTTTTCGATCGGCTTGGGACAGAGGTGCTGTGTTACTCCTTTTTGGACAGTTTTCCAAACGTTGCAGTTTTGTTTTGTCTTCTTTTGTTTTTTCCTTTTTTCTTTGGCCAAGAAATGCCGGACTTGTCCCTCACATGGAAGATGGTGTGTTTCGGGTTTCGGGTTCTATCTGCAACATAAAGGCAGTTTCATGGACATGGGTGTTCCCTTCACTTGCCTGCTGTTGGGCTGGGAAATGGCAAAAAGACCACTCTAAGAGTGACGAACCCCTCGACTTGCCGGGGCAGCTGGATATTGAGGGTTGGGGACATTTACAACCACTATCCACAGATAAAAGTTAGCAAATTTACCATACAAGGCTCAACAAGAGAGATCTCTTCTGTTTTACTGGGTTCATAGTACAATCCTGAAGCGCAATGTCGCAAGGTCAGATGGTCGTACTTTTTCTTATTGTGGTGTCCCACTACGGGTATCAGATTCCGGATCCATTTGGCACAACCAGGATGTCCTGCTATAGTTTGCCCTCTGACCTGTAAAAAATGACCAAACATCAAGAGTAGAAAGCCTGTTCAATGGTGTCCTTGAGATTCCAGAGCACCCTAAACAGGGTAACGTGTTGATGAAAGGCCATGCTGTGGCGCCCACTTTTGAGCTTCCTGCTTTCAATCACCTGTAAATTTCAGTTCAACCCTGGCACATAGCATTTTGAAAGGCAAGCAAACTGTGGTTTCGTGCCTCCGAACATGCAAATGCATGTGTCTTTTTGGCAATCTTGACAATGCATTCAACGTGCCAACTGCCTGATGAGAGCGCAATCTTGATTGGAGACTTTCCCAACCAGCACTATATAAATGTACTGCAAAAGACTTGGGCCTTGGCCACCCCACCCTTCCCCCCTCTGGCAGACTCTCCACACCAAAAGGACAGAAAAGGTGCCAAAACACACGCCTCCCTCAGAGCTTGTCAAGTGTCTCCCTGAAACATCACGACGTGAGGAGAATCAGCCAGAGGTCTGAAAAGTTCTCAGCTCCCTTCGGCCCAAGTGTCAGCTGTGCTTTCGCAGGATCGGCATGAGGTAGAGACGCTGGATGGTTCTGACGAACACGGACCGGCCGGGGCAATGACGTGGGATCCCTTTTTGGGGTTGAAATGGAGACCAAAGGGAAGCTCCCCACTATTTCAACGCAAACCCCTAGCAATCATATTATTATTGGGTGGCATTGTATACCCATCGTGTCAAAAAGGGGTCCCAGATTTTGATCTGGAATAAAGGATCACTTAATGGGGGCCACAGGTTCGCTGAATCATCCGAAACATGCACAACCAGGTGGCTAAAACATGCTGGGGCCCTCCGATTCTGGTGAAAGAAGGATCAACTTGACATTGGTCAACTCGAAGTGGCGGAGTTTGATGGGGCAAACATCGGAAATGGTTGGTGGACATTCGTACCCAAGTGCCAACGTTTCAGAGTTGAAAGCAAGCCATTGACCTGGGGTGTGGCTAATGTAAGCGCTGTTGACAAGACAAAATCTCTGAGTCCTCTTCGCCAGCTCAACATAGAGGAAGCGTGGAAAAAGGGGGGGATTAACTTTTGAGTGTCAAAAAGGGGGCGGGGCCCCGTTTGCAACAACCCCAGAATGTGCCCCCTTTGAACACGAGATACTCCCCTGTTTCCGGGCGTGGGCAATTGAGGAAGAGGATTCCTGGTTCGGCAATTCCCCTCTGCTGATTTTGAGGACTTCCGCTTCAGGTTGATTTGTTTCCATTGCGGGAAGCTCGAAGGCCCAGCTTGCCGTGCCTTGCATGATAATGATGTGGGTGTCTCTTTTTTTAGGGACCCAAAGAATGGTGGTGTTCCTTTTGTCTTCTTTTAGGGACCCAACAAATTGGTGGGTTTCCTTCTGGCCTCCCTGCCATCCAAAAAAGACAAGCCCAATGCGTACATCACCCGAAAATTTTCTCCAGGAAACCTCCAGGATGCCATGGACAAGGTTCGGAGCGTTCCCGGGGGTCGCGTTCCGTTCTTTTGAGGGAGTTGCCAAACCGGCGAACAGCGCCCTGGTGTTTCAATAGCTTCCAACGTAGCCGTCCCGTGGTCCCAGCCGTCCCGTGGCGCTGCTTTTTTTTTCTCAGAGGGCTTCCCCAAAAGTGTCCTGCTTTTTGCTCGAAAAGTGATGCACCAGTTTTCTGTGAGCATGCCAAAGCCGAGGCTGAAGAAACACGCCCCGGTAGCTATGGTGAAAATGAAAATGATCTGGGGATCGTTCTGAAATTTAACTACTCGGGGTCTTAAACAACCACAAGGATTAGGGCTTGTCTGAAAATGGGGGACCGCAAGTGTGTGGGTTCCCTTGATTTTCATTTAAACAAACCCCAGAAAGGTTACGTCCAAAAAAGACAGCTCATTTGTCTAGGGGATGGGCCACGATGAGGAATCACGAGCAAGAATTTCTTGCGTCATGATTGGCTTGGATCAATCAGCTTGTCACAATCAAAATGAGCCTTGGCACCTTCAAGTAAAGGAAAGAGCCCTCTAAAGTAGCACAGGACACCCTCAATTAAATTCAAAACAGGAGTGGCTCCATGGGAAGCCTGGGTTAGCCCCCTACGAACTGCTATGAGTATGGGAAGGACGAGAAAGGGGAACGAGCTCGACATTTCAACCGCAAAAACCAGGGGACGAACTCTGATTTTCTCATGTCCTCTTGGGCAACAAGTAACATGGCTTGGTGCACAGATCTCGTCTTTTAAAAGGAGGGTGCCGTATTCACAGTCGCCAAAAGCGACGTGACCTTGAGACCTGAGTTAGACGATTTGTGCATGGCTCAAAAAGGTAAGCACCGTTCCTGTCGTAGTTCTTTGGGCAGGTGGGTATTGGAGACGTCACTCAAATCAATGGTTGATCAAGCTATGTGTCTTTTGCAATGAGACCAACGCCACTTTTGGAGGTTCAAACGGACACATCACCGTGCCCACAAGTGTTTGCGTGTTTTGTTGCTTCTAAGAAATAATAAATGGTCTCCCCTAGTGGTTGGTTTTCATGGTGGTTTCCCTACAAACCCATGCCAACAGGTGCACCCTTCGTTTTGAGAAGCTCCCATTTGGCGTCACATGCCGTTTTTGCAAGTCTTAGGACACTTGGGACCGGAAAAGGGTCGTGCGGGATCTGGAGCGAGATCCAAGATCCAAAGACAAACCCCCCTCCCTCCAACCCCAACTAGGTCCCCCAGCTAGGTGCCTTTTTACCGTTTCTTTTTTGGGGGAGAGTTCCCCTACGAAAATAGACTACGGAAAAAAGGAGACCCTTATTCTAACCTCTAAATCTGGAGGACCTAGCCAAAGAAAAGGCAAAACCCGTCTCGAAAACCCACCAGGAAAATCGCAAAGCACGAAACTGCTAGGTTCCAAACAGCTCCCGGCGCATCGCGGAAGCGCATGTCAGGAACTCAGCCCAAATCGAGAGGTCAAAGTGGTTAAAGGTCGATGGTCCGTTTGGTACGAAGTTTCCCCACAAAAGCCGGGAGAGGCCATGCATGTCCCATGTCATTTTGGTGGAAGCTCAAATCCACCCAGGGAGTTAGGGAGTTCCTCTACGTATTGAGCTCATTTTGGCAGAACCAACCTCGACCTATAGAAACTATTTTGGGAATTGGAAGCAAACAAAGGCGTTGGGGCACTGATCAGGTGGCGTCCAAGTCTGATTTTGGGGGTGTTATGTCAACCACCTTTTCAAGGATTAGAATCCATTTGGGTGTTGTATCACCACCTCAACACCCATTTTGGAGTGTTTTGAGTGTGCCACTTGAATGCGCCCGGGATTGGTCGGCTACCGAAGCACCCAGCTGCCCCTCTCGCCCCAGATGGCTATGTCCCTTTGGAAGGCACCCTTGGGTGGGTGGGATTTTAAAGGGAACCGCGGAAAACAAATCCCATTTGGCCGACCTAGTTGGCAAGCCAGTCAGAATCTTCTGGGCCGCACTTGGCATGGGAGTCTCGCAACGGAACATCATGAGTTCAAACGCGACCGAATTCACCTTTTGAGCTTTTGGGTTGCCGCAAATTCGTGTTCCTTTCGGTTTTTCCCTTGCTTTCACCTGAAGAACTATGTCTCCCCGGACGAAATGGTGGCGGCCCCTTTTCAGAGCAGCACCCCGCTAGCAGCCACGGCTGGCCGCAGCGGGGCAGAACGCCTTGGTTTCCCACGGGATCCGCCTTTGAAAGGTTTACAAAGTTTGGCTGGACCCTTGTGTCGCCAGAGGGCATACCAAGAAGCACTCCAAAAAGCGTCTCTACTTTTGGCACACCTCGAGCTTCCTGGATTTGTTCATCCACAAGCCATGTGTGAGAGCGTTTTCCATGTGAGTGGAGCTATTATGTATCTTGCTTCCGTTTGGTGGAGAATCAGGGCGCCCTCTTTTGATGACAGTGAGATAATTGTTTGGGGGTAAAGGTAACGACCCCTCTGCGAGGGTGATATTGGGGACACCCCCAAATTTGGTCGACTCCCTTTCCCATCTGGCCAAGATGCTGGTGAGCCAGTCTCCAAACCTCTACAGCCGACCTGGCGGAGGTGGGACGGACGCTTTTTCTCGCGGATGCTGGGTGCAAAATAAATCTGGTTGATATTCTCCAAAGGTTTGGCAAGAGTGGATGAAGACCAATTTGCGTAGAGCAAAGTTCGGACTTTTCTCTGACGCCAGGATCTAGGTCTGTTCTTGTGTTCCACAGGTGATCTTGAGTCGTGTTTTCGCAGTGGGGGTTCCAGGCGCCTGGTTCAATGGGGGTCACACCAAGATGCCTGAGGGTTGGCTATGACACCCTTCAAAAATCCACAAAAACCCAGTTTTTCAGTGACAAAGTCATTATGGGGATGGGAATCCCAACTGCACGCTGATGTGTATTTGGTCTAGCGGGGAACGGGCAGAATCGAGCATCACGTTGGCGTCCCTTTGAATTTGAAAGGTACCCTTCACAGAGTCGCAGAGACACACCCGGTTAGGCACGGCTTCACGCTGGTTACCTTTGTCACAGGGACCAAAAGGGGTTCTCTGATTCTGTGGTGTTGACACATACCCATTTGGGCAGATAGCCGTACGATGTGCAACGCGATCTAACCCAAAATGGATCCTGGCTGGGGTCCTCAATATTTGGACGGTAAGTTGTATCCACCAGTCACCTGAGAAGCATTTCCTCATTGGGTGGGTAGCCTATGACCAATCTTTGAGCGTCCGCAAAGGAGGGATATCGAATTGGTCCGGTTAGTTCAACATGCTATGGAAGGTTTCACTCCGTCCGTGTCTGCATGTGTTTTGGTCAGTAAGGTCTAGGGGTCCAATGCAAATCTTCAACCCAATAGACCAAGGCATCTCAAAACTATCTCACAATGCACGAGGGAGTTCGCTTTGCAGGCGATTCTGCTTCCAGCCTTTGCCCCTCTCCAACAGGTTGTTCAACATTTTTCCGTTGTTTCGAAGAGGAGTTGTGTCACAAAACAGGTTACCTTGAAACACCGTCAATTTGTGTGAACTCACTTTTCATTTGAGTTGTTTCTTTTGGCGCTGAGGGTATCCTCTTCGGAGGGTTGCAGAAAAGGGAAGCCCTGCAAAATCGCTGTCAGGGGCCCCAACATGTTCCAGTTTTAGGGATCGATCATCGATCGCCTTGTTGGGCCCAAAAGGGGGGGTTCCTTTTTGGGTGTTGTTTGGGGAAGCTCAGGGAACCTGTGATAAGAATGAGCTTTGCGATACCCACCCAAATCCTTGGAACAAAAAACACTGGCCCCTTCAGGAAGTCGCCTTTCGCCTTGTGATCACAATTCCTTGAAAATGACTGGGCCCCTATGTTTCTGTTTTTTGTTTGGGGGGGAACCCCCCTTGTCGTTTGCCAGAGTTACGGCTTGGATCCTCGAAGCACCAGAGCCAACTATGGTTGGTTTCACGTCAGCTTAACTTGTCAAAAGAGCGGCTATGTTTCTCAATTTCACCAACTGTGAAAAAATGTCGAGAAGTGTGCAAAGTGTCACCCCGTTTCTCACTGTCGGTATCTAACAGAAAATGCGACACCCACCTTGATATCCCCAGGAGCCGCAGATGTCGGGAAGTTCGATGCCAGCACGGGTGTCACCAAAGATGCCTCCCCGGGCTCCGGCGGTCGCTTGCCCCTCGCCTGATTTTCAGGGTGGCATGGAGAGAATGGTACGTCAAACTAGGGGATGCCAACCCCTCAATGGGTGGTTTCCCGTTGATCCTGTTGCTGTCCCTTTCAAGCGCCCCCTAAATGCGGGGGGCGGGCACCCTGAAACAACAGAATCCCAAACGATGCTTCAAGGTGTGGCGGTTTTTTTGTCATCCTTATCATCCTCATCCTTGACTGATCATGAATGTGATGTCATCATCATCATCATCATCATCATCATCATCATCATCATCATCATCATCATCATCATCATCATCATCATCATCATGGTCGTCATCGTGGTCGTCATCGTGGTCATCGTCATCGTCCTTGTCAGCCTCATCATCAGCGTCATCATCATCCTCATCGTCATCATCATCATTTGTACCATCCTTGTCATCCATAAAGCATCCTTGTCACCCTTGTCATTTGTAGGAATCTTTATCATTCTTATTATTATTATTATCCGTACCATCCTGATCATCCGTATCGTCCTTGCCATCCCTATGGCATCCTTATCCTTACTTAGTATCTTTATAACCCCTATGTTCATATCATTTGTATCAATACTTGTCATATCTTGTCATCCTGATCATCCGTCTAATCCGTATCATACTATCGTCCTTGTCATCCACGTCATTTTTTTTTTATTCCCCACATCTTTGTGTGGGGTTCTTACTTTTTCCGCTCGTCGTCCGCGCGCCGCGTCTCCTCCTCCTCCTCCTCCCGCTCGTCTCCGTCTCACTCACTCACTCACTCTCACTCACTCAACTCACACTCACTCAACTCACACTCACTCACTCACACTCGCTCACTCACTCACTCACTCAGTCACTCACACTCACTCACACTCACTCACTCACACTCACTCACACTCACTCACTCACACTCACTCACACTCACTCACTCACGCTCACTCACACTCACTCACTCACGCTCACTCACACTCACTCACTCACACTCACTCTCATTCACTCACTCTCATTCACTCACTCACTCACTCACTCGCTCACTCACTCACTCACTCACACTCACTCACTCACACTCACTAGAGGGACAGGATGTTGTCGCGCGCGCGGCGGGGGGCGTGCGAAATCGTGGCAGGCGCAGCACTTTGGCGATGCCGTTGCGAAATCGTGGCAGGCGCAGCACTTTGGCGATGCCGTTGCCGAAGTCGTGGCAGGCGCAGCATTCTGTGCATCTGGGTGTGTGTTTGTGTGGCAGGGGTCGCATTCGGCAGCTGTCTAGAGGGACAGGATGTTGTCGCGCGCGCGGCGGGGGGCGTGCGAAATCGTGGCAGGCGCAGCACTTTGGCGATGCCGTTGCGAAATCGTGGCAGGCGCAGCACTTTGGCGATGCCGTTGCCGAAGTCGTGGCAGGCGCAGCATTCTGTGCATCTGGGTGTGTGTTTGTGTGGCAGGGGTCGCATTCGGCAGCTGTCTAGAGGGACAGGATGTTGTCGCGCGCGCGGCGGGGGGCGTGCGAAATCGTGGCAGGCGCAGCACTTTGGCGATGCCGTTGCGAAATCGTGGCAGGCGCAGCACTTTGGCGATGCCGTTGCCGAAGTCGTGGCAGGCGCAGCATTCTGTGCATCTGGGTGTGTGTTTGTGTGGCAGGGGTCGCATTCGGCAGCTGTCTAGAGGGACAGGATGTTGTCGCGCGCGCGGCGGGGGGCGTGCGAAATCGTGGCAGGCGCAGCACTTTGGCGATGCCGTTGCGAAATCGTGGCAGGCGCAGCACTTTGGCGATGCCGTTGCCGAAGTCGTGGCAGGCGCAGCATTCTGTGCATCTGGGTGTGTGTTTGTGTGGCAGGGGTCGCATTCGGCAGCTGTCTAGAGGGACAGGATGTTGTCGCGCGCGCGGCGGGGGGCGTGCGAAATCGTGGCAGGCGCAGCACTTTGGCGATGCCGTTGCGAAATCGTGGCAGGCGCAGCACTTTGGCGATGCCGTTGCCGAAGTCGTGGCAGGCGCAGCATTCTGTGCATCTGGGTGTGTGTTTGTGTGGCAGGGGTCGCATTCGGCAGCTGTCTAGAGGGACAGGATGTTGTCGCGCGCGCGGCGGGGGGCGTGCGAAATCGTGGCAGGCGCAGCACTTTGGCGATGCGAGGCGACTGACCCGAGGCAATCAAGCCATTTGCTGCAAGGCATGCGATGGCGACTGACCCACAGGCTGTCTGTGTCTGGCGCATCGCAGATCCACGTGGATCGCAGAGCGCCGAGTGATCCACATGTTTTCTCAAGACTTCTCGGAGCTTGTACCGCTTGGTTGTCGTGTTTGCTGTGCATGTGTGACTTAGCAACGATTTCAAGCAGCTCGAACAGGAAGCCCACTCACGAAGACCGCGCGATGTCGCTGTCGCTGAAGCCTTCGGAGTATGGTGGGCTCAAAGGCACGGCAGTCGCTGGCCGGGTCGTCATTATGGTGGAGCAGGAAGTGAAGAGCAAAGCTGCTTCCGCCGCGGCGGCCACGCCTTCCAAGGGGAAAGGCAAGAAGTCCTCGAAAGCAAGCTCGCAGCCGCCATCTTCCACGAAGTTGGAAATGCACATCGCAGGCGCAGACTCAGTGAATGAGGTGGTGTATGTGGAGGCTTGGGGAGAGCAAGCTACTCAACTCGGCCTGCGCTGCAAGGTGGGAGACTTGATCGCCCTCACGGGCGCGACCGTGATCTCCACTGCGCAGATGTACTCCACTTCTAGGCTACCTTACCACCTTCGCGTCAAAGGCATTGTGGGTACGCAGGTGTTGGTCCAAAAGTTGGAGAGCTTGCCCTGGAGCGGCGTCCCTGCTCATCATCCTTTGGTGCCACTGCAGTCGCTGGCTCGCGTGAAAGACCGACAGCAGATCTGTGTGGCCGCGCAAGTGGACGACAACCCGGGCGCGATCGAGAGGGACACCGTCCAAGGCCGCGTTCTGGTCTGCAATGCCATCGTGCAGCAGAATGGCGTTCGAGTGCGGTGCGCTTTCTGGAGGGAGCACGCTGAAAAGCTCGCGACCTGCCAGGCTGGAACCTGCATCCTGCTCTACCAAGTGTTGGTGGAGAAGAAAAAGGAAGGATCATGGGAGATTGGCAGCTGGCGAGGCACTCAAATTCTGGAGTGCCCTGAAGAGCTTGCCAAGAACATTGGAGAGCGCATCATGGAGCCTGGCGACTGCCGCATGCTCACTCTCATTCCGACCAGGAATTGGAAGGAATGCGAGGCAGCGCAGAGCACATTGAGCGCGCTCGTGGGCACGATTGTCCCCGGGCAGTTGCGGAAGGTGGACACTGTGTTCCTCGTCTCCGGACTGCAGATCATGGGCTTGAGCTCGGTCAAGTCCGAAACGGACGAGTGGATCTTGTCCAGCTGCAGCACGTGCAAGAGAGCTTTCCCTTGCCAGGCACGCAGAAATGTCAATCAGGATGTTCTGATTAATGTCATTCAGCATGAAAAATTAAATCTGTCAAGCTTTTGTGCAGGCACATCCAGATGCTGCTGAAGAGAAGCGCGTGGCCCTGCGCGCTGTGTTCGCGGATAGCGACTGCCAGTGCAGCATGGTGCTCTACCACGACCACGTCGAGTTGGCCTTGCAGGAGCAGGGTTACTCGCTGCCGAATCCTTGCAAAGACACTGCAGAGCTGCGGTCCGAAGTGCGAAACGCATTCCGGAGCGCACTGTGGACTTGCAAAGTCACCTTTCGGGAGAACGACTACCAGCAGATACTGGAGTTGGAGTGTCGCCATCTGACGCCTTTCCTGCCCTTCAACCAGGACTGCCCGGACCTGACGCCCCACATGCTGGAGCTTCCACGCTGGCGGCTGCCCGGTTGCTGCTTTGCGCGACTTACGCGTGGACACAGACTTGGGCTCTTTGACGATTCAAGAGATCGACGCTCCGTCTGTGCGAGCGCTCGTCATGTTCAACGAAGTCCAGCTGCCAGATGATGAGTCTCTGCAGCAAGACCCGCAATCTGCATCGGCCATGCGAGTCAAGCGCTCGGTGGACTGCTGCTTGTCAGCGCCCGACGCTGAAACCCTCTTGCCTTTCCGGAGCAAAATCCGAGCAGCAGGCCCTGCGTCTGCAGTGAATTGGATCCTCCGAGCACGGCCAGGTGAAGTCCACCAAGTGGTCATCATGCAAGCCGACGCGGAGAATGAGTGGTCTGTCCTCTGGCACGTGGAGGTTCACGAGAAGGCGGTGCTGGCTGTCAACGCGTACTACTCTCACATCATCTCCAAGCAGACGGCGGCTGCTGCTCTGAGCTATGCCAGTGAGTGGACTCCCGGTAAGCGAGTGCGCACGCTGCGAGACAGCATGCCAACCCCTTTTAAGACGAGCTCTGCTTGGCAAGACCAGTGCTAGAGCAGGCATGAAACAATGTTCGACACTAGCTGCTGTGATTGCATTTTTGGGCGCCGCGCGACTCGGAATGAGAAGCATGACGCAGCTATCACAGCGAAATGTTGTCCGAATCCTTTGAAGCGTGGCTCTGCTTGGCAAAACCAGTAGCTAACCTTGAAGCAATATGTTGGCCGTTAGCTGCTGCAAATAGCATGTCGAGCCACGCATCGAGATTCTTCAGTTTGAGCCACGCAACTCGGATTGAGAAGTTTACCGAGCTTGTTCAGTGTCGTCATTACGCAGCTGGCGAAAAACAGACGCGACGCGTCCGCACGAAGCATTGCTGCCGGGACTGACAGTCAGTGTGGCATGAGCTGCGCCCGAGCCAAGGTCAGCGCAGCAAGAAAGGTAAAAAAAGGTTCGCGCAGTTGTTTGCGGGATGAGGTGACAGAACGCATGCTAGTTGTCTCCGCGATGTTCATGAGCCCTGCCACAAGCTTGCAGCACAACCGCTTGCGCACGGTACATGTGTGTGGACATTTGAACTCACATCCTTGGGAAAACATAGCATGTGGGGTTATCCGGTCCTTTAATTATCATCCGTATCACACTTGTTGTCCTTATCCTCCTTGTCAGCCGTTGTTATCCTCAACATCCGAACTGTCCTTCTCATCAGCATCATTCTTAGGTGGATTGACCCAAGGGTGCGATGGTAGGGCGAAGATGACAGTTCCTCGCCACCTGTTGTTTTGAATGCCATAGGTTGGAGGCTGAGCGCGCATATGAACGAGCTCTACTCGCTGGCACTGACGCTGACAGACAGGCAGGGACCAAAACTGGTGTGTTGAGATTGAATGCCCCCCTATGGACGTTCTTCAAGCATAGGGCACCACCATTTTGACTGTCAAAGGGAAATCCAAGCGCAAAGAAATTGTTCTTGGGTCACTTGCTTAAGGATACGGGCTTCTGAATGCTGCCCTTATGGGCTTCGGTCTCTGATTCTTTGGTTCGGGAAGTCAAATGCTCGCAATGGACCCCCAGGTGCTGGTTCTCGCCAAGGAGATACTACACGCTCCTTTTGTATTACACCCATTTTAGTCTATTTTAGTCACCGGACGCACGGGCTTTTGACCCAAGGCCATGTATTTAGAGGGGTGCGCAAGTCCAGAGGATTGAGGGTCCATCGAGGGCTGCGACATTTTTCCCGAATTGCTTGCAGGCGCGATCTGATTTGGTTGCAGCCTGGAACGTGGGCCGAACTGTTAAAGGGTGTCAAGTGGCTCTCACCACTTTTCAGATTGATCTTTCCCTGGAGGGGACTGGCAGGAAGTTGATCATTTGTCATTTTGATCCAGAACCCCCAGTTGACCCATCTTGTTTTGCATCCTTCCCATTGAATGGTGACTCCGTGGCTTTGTTGCCAGGCACACATGCTGATTTCAGAGCAGCATCTGGCCGAATGGCTGCGAACCAGCTCCACCACCGCCAAGAGCACGACCACCACCACACCCACCACGACAGCCACTACTTCTGCAGAGTCCACCTCTTCGCAGGCGTCCACAAAGAAGCGCACAACCAGGACAGGCTTGGGCAAAAAAAGTTACACAACAAGACCCCTAGCCCCAAGATCTCAGGGGGGCCAAATGGAAGTAGTTTAAGCCAATAGTGTTTAAGACTTAGTTTGAACAGTTTGGCCCAATCCAAGGACCAGCACTACTGTCGCTAGCACCACTACCATCGCCCCAGAGACCACGGGGGAGCCTTGGCACGCAATGCCGTCTGATCCCCTTATTGCCCGGCCTGCGCACGAGAGGCGGGTTGCTAAGACTTGGGTCTGGAGATCTCCCTCACGATCAAGGTGAATCTGTGTCTGGTGGAATGGCCATTTGGGTTTGGTTTATGAGTTGACATAGTTGACCCCATATCTTTGATGCAGTACTCTTGGTGTCCCTTTCAAAGCCCAACACAAATGCCGAACCGCAAGAAAGACGCCCATTTGTGAAACGTTTGGTGAATCCCCTTGCCGTGAGGTTTATCAGAAGTTGACCAGTATTAAGTCTTGTGGACATTTCCATTTGGGTATGAGTTTCACTAAAGAAACCGCCTCAAAAGTGGCTGGTGCACAGAAATCCCCCAAAATGGTGCCACACTGAGAATTCATATCCATTTATGCAACCATTGGTACACCTTTGGTGGGAATGGTCGTTTTTGGTTTTGATGTTTGTTGTTGTTTGCCTCTTCCATCGCACAGGGCAAGGACCCTTTGAAGCTGCGAAGAAGAAGAAGGTGCATTCAACCATTGGTACCCCCACTTGAAATTCATACCCATGTATGAAACCAGTAGTAGACCTTTGGTGGGAGTGGCTGTGGGTGAATTCGTATGAACCCCCAAGAATTGCGGGACCTCGGCTCTCGTGAAACGTACTAAGGCGGCACAGGTGACCACGCCGGCGGAAGTGACCGCTGCCATGGCGGGAGCGGAAGTGTTCGCGGAATCGGTCCATGTTCTCAAAGGAGTCGGTCTCCGCTGGCGTCCTCTTTGCGAATGCCCCAAGAGTGGTTTCCCGAGATAGCCATTTCGAGTTTCATTTTTGATGTCCCCCAGGGCGTTTCCTGCCAGGTGGGCAGGGAGGTTGCAGCGGTTTTTTTGAGGCGCACCAACTTGTTTGAGGCGCAGAAAGGGAAACCAAAGGAACAGACAGCCGTTTTTATCGAGCTGCGCTGTGTTGAGACGCAGCTGGATGCGAAATCATGATGAAGGAAAGCCAGACAGGCGAAGGCCAGTGATTGTTTCTCCATATCCTAAATTGGATATATTCGGTTCAAAGAGAGACTAGCTCGCCATGAGGGAGTTCCTTTTCTCAGTTGTCCAAAGCCGACCTTTTGACCTTTTGGTTTTCCCATTTTGGTCCATTTTTAGTAGAGGTGCCAAAAGGTTAACCTTTTAGTTCTGGGTCCTTTGGGCAACTGAGTTTTTTGCGGCATTGCTCCTCCATGCAGTTTGAGATGAACGGCCGTGCTGTGCGCCTCCTGAAGCGCTCTGATGTTTTGTCAATCTGGGTCATTTTATGCCGCTGGTTTTTGGCCCCCTTATCTTGTTGTCGGCCGTAGTGAAGAGCCCTCAAGTAGCGAAGCCCTGTAATAACCCAGGATTAGTCAACCCCTTGATTTTGATTTTGGTGTCGCATCTTACTAAGGATCCTTTACTTGGGGAGAAGCCCGAATAATTTGCCAAATTCATTCGTGGGCTTCCCCAGAAGTGAAGGATCCGCTGAGGGAGACCTCTTAATAAGTTTACCAGATTCTGCTGGCATCAACAATTACCAGTCTGTGGTTTGTTTAGGAGGCGCCTAGGGACGCACTTGAGTTTCAGAAATCCGACTCGCAAATTGTCTCATGTCTTGGGGGGATGCGGAAATTTGACTGCTCCCCCCCCCCCCTCCAACCCCCCTCCTCCAACCCCCCCCCAGAAAAAAAAAATGCACGGTTTCTCGGTGTCTTTTGGGTTCCTAGCAAGACCAAAAGCCGATGGACGCGCCCGAGTTTGGCATGCGATGCCGCAGGTGGGCGAGACCGACAAGACGGTGCCCATGTCCCCGGTGGCGGAGGACCGACTCGAGCGATTCGCGGATTCGCGGATTCGGATCGAGTGAGCCGACTACTTTTTTGGGAAGGAAACCGAGATGCTGAGTCAAACGCCCAGGGCGCTTTCCGATTTTTAACCGGTATGTTTTCAGAGGGTTTGAGGTGAGACCACACTAACTTTGAGATAGTGGTTCCAATGTTGTAACAGCCCAAGCACTAAGACCAATCAAGTTTCAGACTCTGGCCTTAACATGCTCACTGGTTGAGCAAAGGCTTGAACAAATGCCTTTGCCCCGTTGGAAGAACTCGCTTGTCTAAAGCTAACTTGGTTTCTCGTTTTGGTCCAGAGGGGCACCATTTACTTCCAGGGCCTTCAGAGAGATATAACCCATAGTTTCTTCAGCATCCACCAAGGGGATGGTCCTTCTTCCGGCCTGACACAGAGAGAAGGCTTCGGCTGGAAACAGAGCGGATTGGTAGGACTTGCTGAACACTCCTCTTGATTTCATTTCTTCAGTGACAACCTGGAAACAGAGACCGAGCGAAAGAGAGAGAGAGAGAGAGAGGGAGAGAGAGAGAGAGAGAGAGACCGAGCGAGTGAGAGGGAGGGAGAGAGAGAGGCTAGAGAATCAGTAGTGCCAACAACTCCTATTGTCCATTTTAGTTGGGGGCGGGATTCTGGCTTAGTCCATATTAGAAGGAATATGTGTACAACACATATATAGATATATGATATATGTATAGACGCGTATAAACTTGATGACCATCTTGGTTCAACAAAAAGTCAAAGGGTATTGGGGCATCACTTCGGCGCGACCTGCGCCTTCCTTGTGCGCACGCGTTTTCGCCCACGGGTCTGTGAGCCAGCCTGTTATCAGATTGGTGCCCAAAGGCCTGCTACCATTTCAACCTCCCAACAAAGAGTATGTGTCTGCGTGTGTGTGTGTGTGTGCTGTGTGTGTGTGTGTGCTGTGTGTGTGTGCTGTGTGTGTGTGCTGTGTGTGTGCTGTGTGTGTGTGCTGTGTGTGTGCTGTGTGTGTGTGCTGTGTGTGTGCTGTGTGTGTGCTGTGTGTGTGTTCTGTGTGTGTGCTGTGTGTGTTCTGTGTGTGTGTGTGTGCTGTGTGTGTGCTGTGTGTGTGCTGTGTGTGTGTGTGTGTGCTGTGTGTGTGTGTGCTGTGTGTGTGCTGTGTGTGTGCTGTGTGTGTGTGTGTGCTGTGTGTGTGCTGTGTGTGTGCTGTGTGTGTGCTCTGTGTGTGTGTGTGCTCTGTGTGTGTGTGTGCTGTGTGTGTGTGTGCTGTGTGTGTGCTGTGTGTGTGCTGTGTGTGTGTGGTGTGTGTGTGTGCTGTGTGTGTGTGCTGTGTGTGTGTGTGTGTGTGGTGTGTTTGTTTGTTTGTTTGTTTGTTTGTTTGTTTGTTTGTTTGTTTGTTTGTTTGTTTGTTTGTTTGTTTGTTTGTTTGTTTGTTTGTTTGTTTGTTTGTTTGTGTGTGTGAGTGTGAGTGTGAGTGTGAGTGTGAGTGTGTGTTTGTGTTTTAGGGGACTCAGTAAGATTGCCGATTTTCCTTGTAGAGGTTTTCTTTTACAGCCACCAAACTCTGGGCATCCCCAAAAAAGACACCCGTTTGTGGGTAAAGGAAGTCCAGCCCTATGCCAAACACGCTCTTGTCTCGCTCGCCGAAACTTGCAAGATGAAAAGCACAAATCCCATTCAGGCGGATGTCCTGGGATAGCGACTGGCGGGAAACATGATCTTCTTTCCCATTTGGCTATCCGGGTTGGCACAGATCTTGGCAAGATCCGTCTCACTGGGTCAATCCTAAGAGCCTCTTGGAACATGCGTCCTGCAAATTGGGTCTTAGGGTCATTTTCGGTGATACCATGTATCCCCTTTAAAGTGATAGACTAGGGATGGCCCACTTTCGTTGCACAGGTTTTATGATATTTGGCATTTCCCAGCAGCCAGTTATGCAACTGTGTTCCAAGGAAATCACCATCATTACCAAGTATTCTGTCCTTGGTTCCCGCTTTGGATCCCATTAGACACCGCCCGGTGCAGAAACGGACATAATACGGCGTTTGTGTCAAAAGAAAATGAAACCCTACAATAGTGGTTTCGCCCTTGGTTTCCCTTTGAATGAATCAACTCCAACAAGGCCAACCCATTTCGACATCCATTTGGGCCGGGTAACATTTCACCGCTACCCGCTGATTTAGAAGACGTGGTTTTGACTGGAAAGAAGCCTTGAAAAACTCATCCAAGTTTTAGCCCAAAGGGCTGATGGTCCTCGCTAAGCCAGGAGTTTCGAACACTGCTTTCTTTTTGAGCGTCAAGTCCTCTTTGGGAACACCTCGATTGTTGGCGTGTCTCACGGGTATATTTTCGCGAAGGGAGAAGCTGCTCCAGATGATTGGCTTCCTTTTGGCTTCCCTTCGGCGTCCAAGAAGGGGGTTCCTGAAAAAAAGAGGCCAGGACCTTCCCTCCCCCTTCCTTCACAACCGTCCCAACAGCGTTTCGGTTCTGCTTCTTTGGCTTCCCGCTTGCTCCATTTATCAGGTCACCCTTCGTTGGTGGTTTGGATTGGTGGTTTGGGGATTCAATCCCCTGGCTTGTGCGGACGGTAAAGGGGACCCCCCCTCAATCCCCAAACCACCGGGCTCCAAACCACCCATTGGGAAGCTGAGGAAAAAAAGAAGAAAAACAAAAAAACGGGCGCCTCGGAGCTTCGAGGGCCGGGTGTGTTTGGCGACTTGGCACAGGAGGAGCTCAAGCTTGAGAAGGCCCAGAAGTTCGCCGCCAAGGCCAGGCGGTGGTGGGGGGGGTTGTGGGCGAGGGGGGTGGTGGTGGGGTGGGGCGGGGGGGTGATAGTGGGGTGGGGTGGTGGGGGGCGGCAGTTGGGTGGTTGGCGGGGGGGGGGGGGGGAGGATTTGTTCGGCGCCAGAATTTGAATACGACCAAAAGGTCTCGACAGACGTTGGGCATGTGGACGGACCAATCGCCAGGCAGATGGGAGTGGCGATTTCTGCCAGTCAGTAGTTTTCTGGGATCCTCAGTGCAGGACTTGGCGCCTGTTCCATCAAAAGGGCTAAACTTTTAGGCATGAGCGCCGTGGTTGCGATGACCTTAACCCATGCTCCTTTGGCTATGTGGTTGTCCCGAGCTCGACTTCCGAAGGCTCCGGAAGGCTCCCGAAGGCTTTGCAGTCCCCCAAAACAGATCATAGGCAAGTCATCCCCTGATAGTCCCATATGGGGGTGTTTTTTGTTGGACCCACCAACATGGTGATTTTCCTTTTGGTTTCCCTTCGAAACCAACCAGAAAGGGGTACCCTCAAAAAACCGACCCACCCATATGGTTTCCTGCTTTCCCAGCAAGCCCTTCACTGGAGACCTGGCAAACCGAAATCCAGAACCTGCCGCTTGGCCTTGCCTGCCAGCGCCCCTTTCCGACGCAAGGTGAAACACTATCACAGCGATGAGGCCGAGGGTTTGTGGAGAACAACGGAGTTCGGTTGCGCAGAAATGGTCTGAGTTGTCACCGTGTCGGTGAAGGGGGAAAAGACAGGTGGCCGTGTCCTCTGTCATTTTACACCCCAACAATTGGTCACGCAAAAGCACATACCCGGCTTGGAGACTCAATCAATATCCACGGCTGATGTGGTTGTTCGCTTGGTGGAGGGCCCCCTTCCAGCGCCTTTGAAAACAACAGCCGCCTTGCGGCAAGGGTCTTTTGGAAGATGAGGTTTGACAGAACGTCCGCCTGGTCCCCTAAATGGTTGATGCCCTGTTGTTGTTTTTGGAAGCTCGCAAGAGGGGCCACTCGGAGCCTCTCCAGCCTCTTTTAGACACCCCCGCAGGTATACGAGAAGCAAATCTCCGCTGGCAAACTCCTATTAGAGCTCTCACCACTTAGTAAAAGGTAGTGCCCGCGAACGCAGCCATCTCAGGTAGTGCCAAAATGAAAGCAAATCCTTTGCCTGGAAATGCACCCCGAAAGACTAGAGCCCAGTTCATGCATTCCACAAGAGTTGGTGAAGCGTCTCAGTCCCACGGAGAACCGGATGGAGCACTTGTTGCAATTCCAAGGGAATTCCTTGAAAATGACATTAAGCGATCTTGGGGCTGCAGTGGTACAGCAACCACGTCGAAGTGCTTTTAGGGGTTATCATCAAGGGCTAAATTATCCCTGATTCAGGGTCTTGCATTGGAGTTTCTCAACACCATGTTGGCGTCTTTTGGTTGGTATTCAAATGGAAACCAAAGGGAGTCCAACCAAGTGTAGGTGACCAATTCCCATTTGTGTTGCGAGTGTGTTTTTCTGTTGGGGACCCCCAAAATCGTGGGTTTCTTTTGGTTTCGCGTTAAACCACCAACAAAAAGAAGGTGCCCTCAACAAAAGGGGGAGCAATCCCTATTTCGCGAAACACCCATGTTACGCTGCCAGGAGCCAGAAGAGCAATGGCAGGCCAACAAGGCCGCGGCAACCCCAAATGTAACCCCTGTGTGGGAAGCCAAAAGGACACCACCGCTGTTGGCGGACCACTTTGAGGCATCCCCCCCTGAAAAAAGGGAGGCTGAAGAGGTTAAAGCAAACCGTCTCGAAGAATCAGGAGGCATGAGGCGATTTGGTCTTACTACTCTAATAGAAGGTCGGCTCTCCTGGACTTCAACCGGTTGGGGTTCCTTCTGGGAGATCCTCCACACAGTTGCCTTCACCTCAGCAAGCAAAATGGTAGCCATTGCGTGTCCTTGGGATGCCGGGAAAGACGATAGGTGAACACATGAAGTTGTCCTTTTTGAGGGTACCCCGTTTGGAGTGGTTTTAAAGGGAAACCAAAGGAAACTCATCTCTTTTGGGGGGTTCCCCCAACTTAAGACACGCCTAATATGCAGAGCAAACTCCAACCCCGGATTGATTTACAGGTACAGACAGGGGGTCTGTCACTTTTGGGGGCACCCAGAAACCTGCCCGTTCTACAGGCGGGTTTCGAGCTCACCGATTCGGGGGGTAAAACGAGCTCAAGCCATGATGTAGGTTCTTTGCTTCGGGATCTCTTTCAGGTGTCCGAATCTATCATGTGTGTGGAGATTTGGGTCCATATCAGAGTTAAGGAAAGACACCCATGCGTGCGGATACGGGGGTTTTCACCCGTGCGTGCGGATACGGGGGTTTTAGGTAAAAGCTGTCATGATTGCACAGTCGGTGGTGACTCTTGGTGGTCCACGGAATACCCCAAGTCGTTTGGAAACCAAAATGCCTTGGCTAGTTTCTGAAAGGAAGCACGTGTGAACCAGACATTTTGCGAGGAACTTCAGCACTTTGTCTTGGAATGTATTAGAGCTCGGACTCAGTGCGCCTCTGCCCTCGCATTTTTCAAGACCCAAGGGTTCGGGTGCCCGCCTGGGTCAACGATGGTCCCGGCCATAAATAGCTGCGCCCGCCCTTTTTGCTTCTTCACATGGTTTTGGATAGACCCATTTCATAAGATGTTTGGATAATGACTCTTATTGTATGGAGAGGCCACCTGCACATATTTCTATACAGTTTCCCTCCCAGAGAAGCAAATCTTAACTGCCGCGCGTGGTTGCCGTACAGGGATGCCCACTCCCCCAATCGTGCACATGGGGATGTGTTGGGGGCTCAATGCGCCAGGCGCCCAAACCTGCCGAGTCCTGAGAGGGACGAGGGTGGTTGGCACAAAGCCAATGGGTCCATGCCAAGAGAAACCTGGCCTGACAGTAGCGGAACTAGACACACTCCTCACTCCTTCCCAGTACATTGAAGCTGCAAATCTCTTGATGGTGTGTTTGCCCATGTGACCTCTGGGTTTTTTTTTGTGTACTTTGCCAGCTGACTCGCTTTCAGGGAGCAACGGGCAGTTGCCCGTTTTACCGGAGGTTTCCAAACCCCAGCCAGTTTAGCCATGCACCGTCTTTGTTTGTCCAGCTTTTAAGAAGGAAGAACAAGAAGGAGAAGGAGAAGGAGAAGGAGGGTTTGTCGGTTAGCCCCCATATGAAAAATAATGCTTTAGAACAAATATTGACCGCATCCTGAAGGACGAAGATTTGTCAGCCAATCTTTTGCCCTCGTTCCAGACCTTGTTCCAGAGTTTTTAAGTAACCCTGTTTAGGGAAAGCAACCCCAGGTTCAGGGGTGATCAATGGCCAAGAATAGTATCGCAGATCCAACCCGCCCAACTTAGCGGCTTTGTGAGCTGTGGCCGGGCCGACCAATACGGCCGCGGCCATGCGTGTTAAAGCAGTACTGTCGCAATGCAATGGTTGTGGAATACAGCTCTTTCTGTGATACATAAGCAGGATTCCCATTCGTACTACTACTGCTGCTGCTGCTACTACTACTGCTGCTGCTACTACCACTGCTGCTACTACTGCTGCTGCTGCTACTACTGCTGCTGCTCCTGCTGCTACTACTTTGCCGCTTGACTTGGGATTGATATCACAGAAAGTGGCCCTAATTGCACGCAACCTGCTTGCGCCAAACATGTCATGCAGCTGCAATGATTCTGCCGACGCTGAACCCAGAACAAATTGATGTGGGCAGGGTACGTTGTGCCCTCACAAATTCGCAAACGCACGACATGACAACTTTCGGTCGAGCTTCCACGATCTGCTATACTGTAGCTATACTTGAATGGATTTGAGGTAAGCTTCACGTGCGTCCTATGCTATCGCCATTCATGTTGAGCTCGCTCATTGTTGACAGTCTCCTAAATATTGCGCCTCAACCACAAATTGCTAGAAGGTTTGGATCCCTTCCGTCCTGTCGAGGTGTTGACTTGGCTGCCTTGGTGACCCTTCCAAAAGGCACCTTTGCGGAACAAAATGGCAGCTCCCCGGTAGAAGTGTTGCTTTTTGTAGGGCATTCCAATTTGCCAACTAACTGTTGCTTTTTCCGGGTCAAAGAGCCGAGAGCCAAACCCCAACGAACCGATCTGCGAGGCTGCAGCCACAGGCTGGGCTTGGCGTTTGGCAAGCGGGGAAACGCTGGGTCCAGGGACATCTTTGGGAGAACCTGGGAGTGGGGAGGGTGGGGGGTTGAAAGTGGTAAGTTATATCTTCATATCTTCCAGCAAGTTGCGGGAGACGGCTTCTTTTTCTTTGGCTTTGCACGCCCAGTTGGATTGGCTAGTTAAAGTCCAGACCAAGGTGAAGCAGGCAGAGCAGTTGCCAGACATGCATCGCTGAAGCACATCAAGTCAGTTTCACACAACATTGCCATTTGAAGACGTCTGTTCTGATGGGCCACAGACATCACTGGTTGGCAACTGGGTTTGGCAATCCTTCAGGCATCCGAGGGAACTATTTGCGGAGAGATCGCGGGCAAGGGTCGCACTGGACTTGTTGGTAGGAGAAGAAAACGATCTTCTTGGCGTATTCTGTTAAATCAGGATCAAAGACTCCTGTTCCATTTGTTTTGTCCCGTGTTGACGGTGTCAATACGGAGAAATGGCAACCACCAGCCAGCGGAAACGCCCTGAGGCTCTCAAGCTCCTGGCTTCTGAGTTCGAGGGCTTCCAATCGGGGCTGCGGGGAATGTCACCCCCGGCGCACTTTTTTCAGGTAGCCGTTCCCCCCTTTTCCGAACCTTCAAAGGATGGAAAAATCCCAACGGTCGAGAATTGCAAGAATGAGCCATGAAGTGGTTGCAGTTCCCGCCTTGAATGTCAACTTCGGATACATCCGGCTCGCATTGTTCGGCGGTGGTCAACCTTTTGGAAAGGAGCTTACATCTATGTTGGCAGGTTCCTCTGACTCTCACTTCGTGAGTTCATGGACTTGATGCTATTTGAGAAGACCATTTAATTTGAGTGGTAAATAAAGAGTTCAGACGGTTTTTGGGCAATCCACTCAGGAAGTGAGGACTAGTACTCCAGATTCCGAAGTTCGCGTCTCGACCCTGGCAGGCGCAGCGCTCCCCACGGCCTCGCCTGACGCCGATACCCCGACCACGACAGAGGCGCCGACCACGACAGCGGCGCCGGCGCCCGCAGTGACGATGCCGGGCAGCGAGGACCTGGACGACGCGGAAGAGAAGAAGGAGGCCAGGCTTGCGGGAGTATGGGGATAGGACCCTATTCATGATAGTACAAAACTCAGTGAGGGGGTGATCATTGAAATTCCGGAATTTACCGTTGTTGCTTGTGGACTGGAAACATGGAATTTGCGGAACCGGCCCTTTTTCCTGAAGGTCGGGGAGATGACTATGGTTGTGGTAAGCTGGTGTTTGGTGGGGTTTCGACCTTGGCTTTTTGGGGATAGGACCCTTTCATGATCGCAAAAATCCGTTTTCGGGTGGGGCCAAAAAAGCCTAGCGCAGTCCAGTGAGGTTTGCTGACCCAAAGGGAGCTGTACATGCTTCCCGTGCCTGCTGGAAACGGCTTCTCTTTGGGTTGCCTTCCGTAAGACCAAAACCGAAATCCATGTTGCATAGGAAATCTTTTTGCCCCCCTGGTTCTTGTGGTTCTTGCGGGGAAATGCCAAACAACATAACCATGGTTGTTTTTTGTTGGGAAACTTGTTTTACATGTTTGCTTATTGTGGTTTAGTGGTGGAAATCCCCACTGAACTGCCGATATGTCTTTTTTCTTTTGCTCCCCTTCCAACCTCAACCTAGTTTATTTGGGTTGGGATTGGGATGTTCACTGAGGGTTCGATTTGGATTTTGACCCATGGCCATTTTGGAGGTCCAATTCCCTCTTCCGACCGCGCTGGGACGTTCCTTTCTTTGACCCAGGCCCAGGAGCTGGAGAAGAGCCTCCAGGACATTGCGAAAGAAGAGAAAGGACTTCGCCGCGCGTGGATCGCAAAGGGGGACTTGGAGGAGGGTCTCACCAACGGATATTTTTTTACGGTTTCGGTGTCCTTTTGTTGGGGAACACCCGGGCAAATCGAGTTAGACGCCGGTCGGATCGCTGGAGCCGGTGAAAAACCATGCTGGTTTTGAGAAGCCAGAAAAGCCGCCTTGGCGTGATTTGCCATTCTCTGAAAAGAAGGACCAGGCACGTTCCTTTTGTTGCCAGTTACTTCATCCCTGGAAAATGTGAGAAGTACAGGAACCTTCCTCTTCTCCGCAAAGGTCTGTCAAGCGGTGCCTCAAAAAGCGGGGGACTTTTAGGATTCAAACATGGAAAGGACTGAGGAAAGCCTCCAAAGGGAGCAATGTGCTCTTGAATCGTGGTGCCTGCATGCATGAAACGACCTCACAAGCTAAAACAGAACTACGGCATGTTCCAGGACCTCCGAACAGCTATCAAATGATTTCTTCAGTTTTTTTTTCTTGTTCGAAATTGGGATGCCCATTCCGTCCGAAATCTAGTGGGGGTGCGTTTCCACGCTCTCTCGGGCGCAGGAAGCAAGCCAAAGAACCAGGCAAGCGGCGAAGTGACCCAACCTGTGGAGCTGTGGGTTGCTTTGATTTCCTCGTGTTTGTATCTTCCAACACAGTTGCATGTCTTGTTCCCATGGCTGGAGGTGTCCGCCTTTCTTTTATAACCAAAGAAGCGCAAATACGTTGTTCATGGCCACTGGAGGTCGCTAAATGTGAGGGTACACTTGGGCTCGGCTCGAAAATGCAGGACGCAAAGTTGGATATTTGGGTGGATTCGAACCTCATGGGTGGGTGTTGCGTTTAATGTCCCTAGAAAGTCCAAAGTAGAAAGGGTATACTCAAAAGCACACAGCCGATGTCCACCCCTAAACGCTGCCGATCGCACATCAGGACCATGCGGTCATGCCTTCGAAAAAGGTTTCTTCGTGAGGGTCAACCCACCCTCCCACCTTTTTGGTCGTAAAATAGAGTCGGAGAATGGACCGAGTTCAGTAGTCCGCAAACATGGGAGAAAACATGGGTCGTCCCTATGAGGGTTGACAGGCAAAGTTGCGCAGCCCCCATAATCTTCGAATCGAAAGATCAGGGGGGATTCACCACAATGTTGGTTGCAAACTGATGTACTTGGTAGTGACGGAGAGTGGTGGAAGTACCCGTTGGAAAAGGTGAAAGTTGTGCAGTAGTCGGCTTGGGCAAGAGAGTTCGTTGGAAAAGCTGAAAGTTGTGCAGTTGCGGGCTTGGGCAAGAGCAAAATGAGGCTGAAGTGATTTGAGTGATTTGACCACGTTGTTGGCCCCACCATGGTAACCCTATTAGGGTGTCCCCCCATGCTAGTTGGAACATATGTGACATGTGGCAGTCTCCATGGATAAATTGGCGACCCAGTTTGGTTCAGAAGTATAATTTATAACGTTGGTTGGCCCTCTCGGACGTCAGAACACGTTTCCTTCAGCCTCACGATGTGCTTCCATCTTCGCCATGCCGAGCTCATGGCGACCTGAGCAATGAAAGGTCAGATAGGGCTCCCTTGCCCTTGCCATGCCAGTGGAATCTTTCCATGCCAACTGTTCCTTTTGATTTTGCCGACAAGCTGGCGCCCCATGGCCTGTTATGGGGTTTGGATGTCCGGCCGAAGAATATATTTTGAGGGAACCTTGGGGTTGAGGGACCTGAGAAAAGCCACCCGAGCTAGCTTTCAGGGAACCCGTTTGGTAGATTGGATTGGAGGATGTGGGGATTTGAGGCGGCTTTTGCGGAGGTGATGGGAAACAGCCTGTGCAAACCACCAATCCAAACCATCAAGGAAAGCTGAAGTTTTGGACACCCAAAGTCAGTGGGTGCAAATAGGATTCAGTGTACGGGGACCATCCAAAATGTTCGGCTCAAAGGTGGCTGGTGTTTATTTGGGATGAGTGGAAATGTATGCTCCAGCCCGGTTTTCTGAAAACCCACATGAGCAGCTTTTTTTTTCTGAGATGATGGATTTTAGCTTTGTGGGGAATTCCCAAAAGGTCCGCGAAGGCAGTTCTGTGATACATTGTGTGCCGCGAAGCCCTGCCAAGCCAATTCGCGTAGCCCGGTAACATTGACACAGGCGAAGCCACTTTGCAAAGCCACCTCGTGGTTGGAGTGTGTTGTGTGCTTTCATGGCAAGTGTGTTGTGTGCTTTCATGGCAGTAGCATGCCAAAGGTTGATCTGTAGAGTCGGAAGGCTATGACAAGACTACAGGAAGGTTACAGTCAGCCGGAAGATTATGGGAAGATGACAGAAAGACAACAGGAAGACGACCGGAAGAGCACTGTACGTTTCAGGCCCGGTTTGCTAGAAACGATGGGACATTTTTCGCGAAGCCTCTGCGAAGCCACCGCGGCCCAACTTCCATGCTCCGCCCCTTCGAGGCCCATGACCTCCAGTCCTGAAGCCCAATGCCTCTCTTACCGCCTTTCATCGCCCCCTTTGGCATGGACTCGACTTGGTTCAGCAACATGAGGGCGCAAACTCCCGAGATCTTTGTGGAAGAAGCATCCACGAAGCCCGGCGAAGCCAAGCCTTCCACGAAGTCTGGCCCCGCGAAGCTGCCCGTAGCGTGCAAGCCCTGAACCTCTAAAAAACAATGCTCACATGTCTTGTTTGGATACATACCCACCAATCTATATATATATATAATATATTTATGTATGTGTGTGTGTGCCCAAAGTATGGCTCATTTGAATGTCCTGTAGGGCAGTCTTTGACACATCCGTTTGGGGTGTGGCATCCCAAAACCCATCCGTACAAAAAGCTTTCAGGTAGTAGGCATATCCAATCGGGGTATGGCCAAAAGGGAATAAGCAGGACCTTCCCCCCTGTCACTTGTGATAGGAAGCCCTGTTCTTGCTGATTCTAGGTAGTGAATCTGGCAATGACCCTTGACCAACGGGTGGGTTCTTGTAGGGAATGGTTGGGGGGGGGGAATCTGATATTGCCTGCTGAGAACAAGCAAGTAAATTACGCACACGCTTCCTCATAGTGATGGCTGAATTTGGTTTTCAAGCACTCCGCAACTCTCATGCAATAGGCAGTTCGTGGCGCTCCGTCGCTCCGTCAGGCGAAGGACTCAAACAAGGCAGATGTCGAGGAGGGATGTGTGGGGAAAATGGCTGGTTTTACGCCCAGCTTCCGTGATAATGTTTTCGCCCTGTAAGGATACTTTTGTGGGTGACACTGACACCCGCTCTTAGGATGGGCTGGGTTTGGTAATCCTGGGATTCCATCTCCAAGCAATTCCTTTGAAAACGAAATATCCCGCGTTGGTAACACAGAAAGGGGCATTTCGCAAACCATGCAATGCGGAAAGGATCTGTAAAAACCGAGCCTCGTGCTACCCTCACACCACCCCAGGCACCTAGTGGGGGTTTTCATGTGTTCTTCTTTGAAGGAAACCAAGAAGGATGGGTTTTGTTTGGAAAGGTAAAGCAGTCATGATCTGACTATTTTCATGCTTGTAACGCGCTCGAAGCGATACGATTCATTTGCTTTCAATTCAAATCAATTCATATTGTTTACTCCTCCTTTCTGATTGTAAAGGAGAAACAAACCCAACTTTGGTGCATCTTGCTTGGATGTTAGGACTTGAACTTTTTGCCAACTAATGGGTTTTCCATTAAACCACGAAAAGTTAAACTTTTAGCAGGGGAGCTGAAAGAGACCGAGCCAAGTTAGGACCGAGCCAGCCCTCAGGAGGAAGAAATGCCAAACTCCTCTGCCCGGCGCTCAACGAGTGCAACGGCAGCCTGGAGGTTTCTGCAAGCGAGACCCAATCCTGGCGTGGTTGACTTTCCTTGCCATGCTTGCAACACCAACCCTGGTCGTGGAAGGCTAGGTTTTAGGGCCACTTTCTGGGAGATCAAGGGATTCTGGTTGAAAGCGATAAAGTTATTTGTCGTGGGGATGGCCACCTTTGTATCAAGGAAAGTTGGTATACTAGTATCACGTCACTGTCGCAACCATAGGTGACGCTGGACATTCATGCTTGCAGCATTGAAGACTATTTAGGCAGGTTGCCAGTCTCAGAGCATGCTGATTCCATGCAGTCTGGTTCTCTCATCTGCGAGAAAAAGGCAAAAACAATTGCGGCAGGCGTGACTTCGCAGGCCTTCGAACAGCCGAAGGTTGATCCAAGTTGCAGGTTGGCTTCTCCTGTAACGGGAAAGAGGAAGTCAACTAGTCGCCCTGTGCTTCTCTAAGCAAAGCGACGTGGAGCCTTGAAACCGTTCAGAAGGAGGAACTGGGAACTGGAACCCCATCCATTGGGAGTGAGCTGAAGTCCAGAGCACGCAAGCACCTGCTCACAAGCTGGAGCACGAGGCATTTGTTGGACTGAGGCGATGTGTGGGGTCGCGCAGAGGTACACCAAGCATGTTGGTGTCCGAGTTCAAAAGACGTTCAGTAGGGAAACCAGCAACTTCTGCCGCTGTCCACTGTCCCAAGTCCCTCAAGAAAGTAACTCTTTCCTGTACAGTGATCCTCTCACTGCCCACAAAAGAGGAGCCCCAACTTGCCTTGTCCGGGAGTCAGAAGGAAGCACAGTCAGACCATCAAACCATCCAGTCTCAGGATCATGGATCAGATTCTATAGCCAGGTTCTGTGATGCTAAAGGGAACCATTGAAGTGACAACGGCACGGGAATCCGAGAAAATCCGAGACAAAAACCTCGAAAAACACTTCCTCACCAAAGCGGTTACTCCCCAAAGCGGTTACTCGCAGCTTCAAGGGAGCGACCGCCCCGTCCGACGACCGCTGTTTCAGGCCATAGAGTTGTCGCCAAAGGCCCGCGAAGCCGCCGGAGCCCTGGATCGAGTTGGGGGAAGCTCAACGCACGTCACAGATCCATTTGGGTATGGGTCACAATTAGTCACCAGGAATTGGACCGCAGGTTTTGGCCCTGAGTTCCAAGGGCTCCATTTAGGGTACCCTATGTTTGACCCATAGCCATTTGTTCAGTGCCGCCCTGTGATCATCAATTTAGACTCCTTTGGCCAAACAGCCATACCGATTGACATGGAACACCAAACCTCATTCAGAAATATGGCTGTGGCTCAGAAAACCGGTACCAAAACAGAACCCTGGTAAGTGGAAACGTGGACCAAAACCTGCGTAACCCCTCCTGTTTGATTTTGAGCCACACCCATATCCATCCCCTTTCAACATTACTCTATAACTGAGGTTCTGGCTTGGGTTTCCCAGCCCCCGAACTTGGCCGGCCGATGAAATCTCCGCGGGAGGCCCCGGCGGTTCGGTTCTCAGGTGAGCGTGCGGCCGGACGCCAAGTATGCAGCTCTGAAGTCCCAGGCGGGTTTTGGATTCGGACGCCAAGCCACGGAATTGGGGCAGGAATGTTGACCCCGGATCAATAAACGCCCGTTTATTAATCTGGGGGTGTCCCCGGTCTTAGTGGGGATTTATCACTTTTGGAGAGGAACACCCCCCATATTAATAAACAGGGGTTTGTTCATCCGGGGTCAAGATTACTTGTGATTTTCGACAATGAGAATAAGCAGGCAAGTTGTTGAGGATGCAGAATCGGTCTCAGCCTTTGACAACCCCAAGGCTACCTTGTTTTTGAGAGCCTTGGTTTGAAGGGAAAAGGAAAACGTACCATAAGTGTGGGGTCTGAATCCCTTTTTTTTGGGGCGACCCATTTAAGGTGGATCAAAGGTGCCTCTATGTGTCTGGCCGTTAAGGAAACGAAGGCTTGGGTTTGTCTCAAATTAGCGGGACCCTCCAGCTGGACGGGTTTTCCCTTTGCTTCCCCTTTAAGATGAAAGCAACCCCAAAAACTGTCCCTCAAAAAAGGTCGCGCGCATGTTAGTCGTGGGTTGAGGGCAAAGCTTCGGCGGTGAAGCACAATTCTGGGCACCCAGGTGCAGAAATTGTCTACCCAGATCCATCCCCCGAGAAGAAAGCACGAAGGGAACGGGAAACTCCAAGGAGTTTGTTTCGTCAGATTTGAACACGTTAATGGTGACAACTGAATAGTAAACCCCCCTCCCCCCCCCCCCCTCAAGGTCGACAAGGTTTGGACAAGTCCCCAAAACTGTGATTTTTGGGAAGACCCCCCTGATTAATCTCGAGCCCCTTCGGTCCTCGTCCTCTTACTTCTGGCCCCGTCTGCATGGGCAGTAGGACTGTAAAAGGCAACATCAGGTTTTTGGGTTTTGAGCCCAAAAGGGCCCTGATTAATCGTGGGGGGTTTTCTGTTAATGAGGGGGGGCTGGCCTCCAAGGGGGGTCCAGTTGTGAGCTGAGATGCATTTTGGGGGAAGCACATGTTTGACGAAAACTTGAGGGGTTCAATAGTAACTTAGTATTGGTAGGCTTAATCACAGACTAAGCAAAAACTAGGCAAGAAGGAAGTCCATTTTCTGGCAGTTTTGTTTTGGCTCGGAGGCTGCAGAGGGATACCTTTAATCGGGGGGGGGGGGGGGGTTAGGGGAGGGCCCAAAAATATTGGGTAGGGTTTTTTGGGGAAAACCTTGTTGGCCCTTTACTTTAATATTGGTGAGAACTTGGGGGGGAAAAGGGACACCTTCAATCGGGGCTGGTTTACTAATCGTCTCCAGACATTAATGTCAACTAGTCTGTAACCTGGCAACTCCCTTAAGGGAGAAAAGGAGAGCAAGGAAGCTGTGCATTTGAAGGGCCTCCCACAAGTTTATAGTTGAAGGAAAACCATTGAAGAAAGTACGTTGCATAAGCTTTGAACACATGCGGGATGGTTTCCCAAATTGTGTGCAGGGCCTGGACTTGACCACGTGTGAAAGTGAATACCAGGAGTCGAACCTTTTTTTGTTCACTAGATGCACAAGTCAGAGTGGAACCTATCCACAACAAATCCACCCCATGAAAATCAAGAGAATCGAAGGGGATCCGCAATTCAGGGAGCTCTTCGCAGCCCTCTAGCCCGCAAGACCCCCAAGGAACTAGACAACTCGGATGGGATCCAAGTGTATACTCCCAATGAGGTGCGCGGACTCCTTCCCAAAAGGACAGTACAGTCTTCCAAGGCCGAGTTTGTGATACCTGCAAAATCCTAACGGCACAAATTTTAGCCTCGGCCTGCAAAAGGCGCCTTTTTCCGTCCTGCGGCGGAAACTGTCCAAACAGCATGTTTCTTGCGGCGTTTTTTGTTTTGCTACGGCGTTTTTTTGGGTTTGGGTTATCCATCCAGGGAACCCTCATCATTCAGGTCACGAAGCTGGGAACTTCCATTGATTGCCGTTATTCAGCTATTTGGCTTCTAGCCACCCTCTGGCCAGCACTAGCTGGCTGCTAAGGGTACGCCCTGCCTTTTTGCACTGGCACATGATGCTGCGCACTGTGACAAAGCGTTGCCAGTGCTTGCTTGCACCTCCAAGCCCGCGTTGGGCAGCGCTTTGGCTCGGAGACCCTGAAGGTTAGGTCCACGCAATGGCCTTGACTGATGAAAAGGTCAGCAGTATTTTGAAAGAAGCAGGCGTGGCGCATGCTTGTTTGGAACCCAAACTCCAACAAGAAACGGTTGCAGGTCTCAATGACATGCCCCAGAAGTTCTTTCAGGAGGTCCAGGCCTTGCTATGGCCGACTGAGCCGTTGCTGGTTCCCGACTTAGGTTGTCTGCTGGTTGGCAGTGTGCTCTTGAGTCATTGAGGGTTCTTCCCATAACACCTTCGGTTGCGCAAAGCTAAGGATCCATTGGATGAAACACGCGCGAAGGTCATAGTGGAGAATTTCAAGGGCCGAGGGGCAGTGTGTGATCTTGCGACCTATTTGCGCGAATGGCAAGCTGACCGAGACTAGGAGACAATTATTAGTTTAGCTAGTGTTTTCGACCTTGAGTGACCCAATCAGAATTACTTACCCCTCGGCTGCTCCAGCCTAGGTTCACGCGAGCGCCAGAGCGCCGATCTCAATGGTGAGACACAGCCATCAGAGTGAACGCCTTTGCCGGCGAAGCGGGGCGCGTTTCATGATGGAAAGGTGGAGGTGGAAGAAAAAGCTCCTGAAGCGTTTGACCTTGTCACCCGAACTTGCTTCATGGCACCTACATCCAAACTTGTTTGACCCTCAATCCCACGCAGGTCATGGTCACCTTTTTTCTCAACCCCTTGACTCTTCAACTTGGGCACGCAGGCGCGCTTTCTTGTGGGGCGTGGCAGTTGAATTTCTGGTTTTCCCTGGCCAGTCTTCCGGCTTCTACTAGCTGGAGTTTGGCTTCAAGCGTACTGACCAGAAATGATGAGGAGGCCAGTTTGGATCCCCAACTTTGGAATGGTGTGTTGGGTTGCACCCTGGCAGGCGGGTAACATGGGAAGTTCCTCACTCACTTCTGGAGGCGCGCCCTGTGCACCAGAGATGACACATGTGTTGTCTGACTGCGCCAGGCGGTGAACCTGGTGGTCGCCTAGTGCCCCTGTTTGCCCTTCATGTGCCTCTTGTGACCAGTACCTTGAACTCGTTTCAATTGACCGCCTGAAAGCATTTGGCTGGAAAGTGAAACTCCCTGGTAACCATGTCGTATATGCTTCGCCATCTTTCAGAGACCGATTCTCTTGATGGGTTGGCCGAAGCCTGGGAAGCCCACAAAGAACTGCGGCGAGCGATCGTCAAGAAGAATGCCCTGTTGTCATGGCCATCCCCGCAGCGCGTTGGCAACATGTCTCTGGAGGCCTTGTCAATGAACGCCCCCATGTTGAAGGTTTTGCTGCAAATATGGGTCCCAACATTGGCCTCACCAAAGACAACGCCAATCGATCAGCTGAAGCGGGAGGCCTGGCACCACCAGTAGTTGTTCGTTCTCCCTGTCTACTTTGCGGGCTTGTGGAAATCTCAGATCCCTTTGAAGGTGCGGAGACTCCGGTTGGCTATGAGAATCTCAAGTTCCCCCGTGTCCGTGCACTGCGATGCCCATGCTTTGAAGGGCTTTATGAGCTTGCTGATCAGAAGACATGACAACAGCGTTCGCAGAGAATCTTGACTGAGATTGAAATACTCGTTTGACCCAGAAAAATTTCCAATGAATCCTCGCCCTAGGACCCGGCTCTTCAAGAGCTGTTCGAGATCATGGGCAAGCACTGGGCGCCCAAGACCCGCAAGAACTCATCTGCAAACCTGGCCGATGAGGAGATTGAGGGTGGTGGTGATGAGGGTGGTGAGGGTGATGAGTCCCCCTGTCAGGCAAAGGTTTCCGTTGAGGGCGAGTCAACCCCAAACTCCGTTGCCAAAACTGACGAATACCTGGCATGGACGCTTGGCGGGGACTTCAAGAAAACCCAGGAACCCATGTTTGATTCCCCTCTTGCCACATCCCCTGACGACAAGTCGGACCAAAGCATCGAAGACGAACTCCGGCTACTTGAGCAACTTGAATGCGGATAATGATTTCTGTTTGGGCTAGAATTGCTTTGCCCCTTGATTTCCCATTGCTGTCCCTTTCAGGCAAAGGATGGCTGAGCGGCGGGTTGCCCTGGCTGGGAAACTGGTGGCTGAGTCTTGGCAAGGTCTGCGGCTTAACTACGGCTTAACTACTATCCCGGTCACACAAAAGAACAATCTCACATGTGGCGCTCTCCAAGGCACTGGTGATGCCGCAAGTGGCAGTATGCAGGATGCTGAAACCCTCCCATTCGATGGTGCCCAAGTGGCGCAGTTCATCACAGCAGGCCTTGTTTTTGAAACATGGCCTTTTGAGGTTTGAGTGTTTTTGCACTTGAGCCGGGTGATGGCAGTTCCATCGCAGGCGTGCCATTCGGGGAGGACAAGGTCCAGCAGTTCGCTTCTGACCCTGAGCCCACGCCCAACCCTGACAAGGTCACAGACCCTGAGCCCACGCCCAACCCTGACAAGGTCACAGACCCTGAGCCCCAGCCTCTTGAGGCAAAGAAGCCCAAGCTTGCTGAGCAGCTTGAGCCCCACAGAGTCACAGACCCTGAGCTCCAGCCAAAGGAGCCTGACAGAGTCACAGACCCTGAGCCCCAGCCTCTTGATGAGGCAAAGCCCAAGCCTGAAGGTTATCCGGAGCCCCAGCCTCTAGATGAGCTGAAGCTCATCCCTAGCGACTGCAACCAGGTTGCAGGTCCCCAGGTGCTGGCTGTCCCTGACAGTGCTTTGGACACCTCACAGGTCTTGACCAAGCCGAACCCGGCGGACTGCAGCCCGACCAGCGCGGCCATCATGGATAGCCAGGCCTGTCAGCAAGTGCCGTCGAGTTGCTGCTTTGATCCTTCCCATGGCAGGCGTTGGTCTCCCGTCACGACCAGCTGGCTGTCAGGGCATCGCTCCGCCGCAAGCGCAAGAAGGCTGAGGCAGAGGAGA